TGGCTTAGATCCTAGGCTCGATCATGGCCCTATTCAGGGCACGATTCAGGGCTCGATTCTGGGAGATTCTGGGCTCGATTTTGGGCTCGATTCTGGGAGAAGGAATTTGCAGCAGAAAGAAATTGCAACAGCTATTTTAGTCCACTTTTTGATCCGTTAACCATCTGAAACTCACCCGAGGCCCTTGGGACCTCAACCAAATATACCAACAAGTCCTAAAACATCATACGAACTTAGTCGAGTCTTCAAATCACATCCAACAACACTAAAAACACGAATCACACAGATTCAAGCCTAATGAACTTTGAAATTTTTCATTTCTACAAACAACGCCGAAACCTACCAAATCACGTCCGATTGACTTCAAATTTTGCACACAAGTCATAAATGACATAACAGACATATTAAAATTTTCAGAATCGGATTTCGACCCCGATATCAAAAAGTCAACCCCCCGGTCAAACTTCTCAAAAATTCAACTTTCGGCATTTCAAGCCAAATTCCACTACAGACCTCCAAATAATTTTTCGAACATGCTCCTAAGTCCAAAATCACCATACAGAGCTATTGGAATCATCAGAATTCAAATCCGAGGCCGTTTACACATAAATCCATATCCAATCAACTTTTCTAACTTAAAAATTCTAAATTATGAGACTAAGTGTCTCATTTCACTCTGAATTCCTTCCGGACCCGAACCAACTAACCCGATAAGTCATAAATCAATTGTAAGGCATAAATTGAGCAGTAAATGGGGAAACAGGGTTATAATACTCAAAATGACCGGCCGGGTCGTTACATAAATGTTAGGAATGTAAGATTTCAAAGTCCTAAATATTAGGAATATAAATTAAATTACATCTTTATCCAATGTAATATCAATTTTGAAAGGGTAAAAAAGGCGAACGACATTTCGCTATGGGCCTTCGTGCTTTTAATATAGTATATATATATATATATATATATATATATACACACTCAGAAAATATGATTGAAATAGATTAAAGCAGTTGCCAGATTCATGGAGTATAGCTAGGAAACTAACTATCAAACAATCTAATAGATTTTGAGTAGGAACAGGACGTTGACCAAGTGATTAGTATGTGTGTGTACTATATTAATTAGGTTTAATTAAATAGGGCTAAGAAAAAGCTAGAGTCAATGGCTGGAGAATTAAGAGATCAAGTGATGTGGAAACATGCATGGACGTGTGGGTTTTATTTTTTGCTCTATAAGATATTTTATGACATCTTGCATTTGGATTCCCAGGGTCGTGAAAGTAGCTTTTTATTTGCTACTCTTACTGCAGTGCAAATTCTTAGTACCTTTTTGTGCAAATATGGCCACCATTTAGAGAAGATAATCTCACAACACCTCCTTATGAATATGGTGACTCTTGTGGCCTTTCATGTAATTGCTTTTGCCTACGCTTTATCAAGGGAAAAATATAATATGCAGATCAATGGCTGTTTTATAGTAATTTGTTGTGTAGATATTATAATTATTTCTACGTATAAGTTGGTATCTACGTACTATGATTTACTTGCCGTTTCAATGGTGCTTTTCTATATATTACTAGTTATTGCAATCTGACAAGAGTGGGTTGCTTTAGTGGTAAGCACCCTCTATTTCCAATCAAGAGCTTGTGAGTTCGAGTCACCCCAAGAGCAAGGTGGATAGCTCTTGGAGGGAAGGAGCCGGGGGTCTATCGGAAACAGTCTCTCTACCCCAGGTAGGGGTAAGGTCTGTGAACACACTACCCTCCCCAGACCGTAGGGGTAAGGTCTGTGAACACACTACCCTCCCCAGACCGTAGGGGTAAGGTCTGTGAACATACTACCCTCCCCATACCGTAGGGGTAAGGTCTGCGAACACACTACCCTCCCCAGACCGTAGGGGTAAGGTCTGCGAACACACTACCCTCCCCAGACCCCACTAGTGGGATTATGCTGGATTGTTTGCTACAATCCTGTTACGTATCTATGTGAAAGGTATCGCTTATCTAATGACTGCAATTCCAGCTCTACTTGCGCTTACTGCCATGGTAAGTACTTGGACTAATTAAATTTTAGGTTTTGTTCTTTATATGATGTATGCACTAATTCTGATTCTCGTTTTTTGTTGTTGTTGTTTCAGTTCGCTGATCCGACCCGTTCGAGAAAATGTACGAGTTTTTCAATTGGCACTGGTGCTTACTAATTGATTAGAAGACATAATCCTTGAGTTCCCTTGCAATTATATATGTTGTTGACTAACATGTATAAACGTTTGAAATGGTGAAAAGATTTAAACTTTTTAAATCTAGCTAATATTTGACCAAGTATATTTACCCATCGTTTTATGATGTATTGTATTGTAATGTATCATTTTATGAATACAATTGGAAAAGATGTTTACCCTCAAAATCGGATAACAATTAAATTTGTACGTAATTTTAAGGATACATGTCTAACTTGATAAAAAATGATAAATCAGATTGAAATTGAAATAAACAATGGGAAAGTAAATACAAACCACTTAAGTTGAACAATCTTAGCATTAGAAGGTTAGCCGCTCTCGAGCCAAAAGTGCTTTTATCGATATCAGAACAGAATGACAAGAGAATAATAAGAACTAAAAATAATAATATATTGCTTTGGGCTGCGAGTTACAGTGTGTTCAATGAATTATCAGACCCCTTTTATATAGTAGAGGAGTCACACTTTAGGTACAATTCTATAAAAGGTAAAAAATCTCTTAATTTGCTAATTACCGGTTCCTTATTGATACGTGCCGAGATTTCCGCAGCAATATCCGACCGGTCACTGATATTTCGGCCTTCTGTTAGTCATCTCAACAATGTCTCTCCGAGCCCATTTGAGGCTAAGGTCAACACCGGACTCACCGCTAGTCGAAGGCATGCGTTCTGACCTCGGGTCCTAGCTTGGTGGGACTCAAGGTCGATCTTCATTCCTTGGTTGCCACGTTCCAAACCTAATATACCAAGTCGTAGGCGAGCTCGATTTCGACCGTATACAAAGGATATAACTGAAAAGAAAAATAGGAAACAATCCCACCACACCGATTTGATTGTTTCGTAAAATGAGACTTTTGATTGTTCCGAAATAATGAATTTGACAATACAATACAATCAAATTTAAATAAACAATCAAAAATTATTTTGGGATAACAATACAATACGATACAATGGGTAACAACCATCCAAACAAGTTGTTAACTTGAGAAAGAGTTCTAAATCTAGCTAATGTTTTGACCAAGTATATTTAACTTGACAAAGAGTTCTAAATCTTGCTAATGTGATACTGATACGATCACATCCAATTCAACTAACATTAATTGTTTCGAAATCCAAAACAGACCCTAGTTTGGGTCCGGCCAGCCTAGCACACCTGTCTATTAATGGCGGAGTCAGAATTTAAAGTGTATCAAAATATATAAAAGTAAACATACTAGAAAATTAAAGAGAGTCAATACATAGTATATATACATATAAATTTATTTTCTTACCTACCTGCACAATGTATTTTTCCCGCAAAGGGGTGTCCTTCTTCCCGTAAGGTGGCTCAGCCACTACTAACACTACTAGAAATTCGCTAAAAACCGACCAAAAAAACGACCAACGTTGGTCGGTTATGTCCAATTACCGACCAAAATGCGACCATTACGGTGTACGGTATTTTGATGGTCGGAATGGCTTACCGACCAAAGTTGGTCGGAAATTACCGACCAACTTTGGCCGGTAGCTTAAAACGACCATCTGACAAGTTTAATTACTTACCGACCAACTTTAGTCGGAAATATATTTTATTAATTTAATTTTACCGACCAAAGTTGATCGGTTTAACTAAATTATATTTTTTTTATTAATTATTAAAATTAAAAAAATCGACCAACTTTGGTCGGTAATTGAAAATATTTTTTTTTTAAATAATTAAAATTAAACATTACCGACCAACTATGGTCGGTAATCTCAACAGTGCAGACAAAATACCGACCAAAGTTGGTCGGTAATGTTGAATTCTGGGAATTCAATGTTCATTAACCGACCAACTTTGGTCGGTATTTTGGAATAATTTATTTTTTTAATTAAAAACCGACCAACTTTGGTCGGTTTTTCTGGGTTTAATTTTAGCATAAAATGCCTGTTTTNTTATTTTGCAGAAAATAATAATTACCGACCAAAGTTGGTCGATAAATGCTTCCCCTACATTAACCGACCAACGTTGGTTGGTAATTTTAAATATAAATTCTTAAATATTATAAAATATTTTAAATAATAAAATAATTATTAAAATTTAAAAAATTGGATCCAGATTACCGACCAACGTTGGTCGGTAATCCAAAATTTTCTTGTCTGACCACCTTGGTCAATTCGTTGACCAATTTACCGACCAACGTTGGTCGGTATTTAGTTTNCGACCAACGTTGGTCGATAATCCAAAATTTTCTTGTCTGACCAGCTGGGTCAATTCGTTGACCAATTTACCGACCAACATTGGTCGTTATTTAGTTTTAAAAAAATATAATTTTTTTTCCCCAGTTTTCGTCCAACCTGGACGGTTTTTAGTCGCTTTTTTTGACCGACCAACGTTGGTCGGAAATAGTTGGTCAGGTTTTTAGCAGATTTTTAGTAGTGTAACTATATTGTCAGTGTTAAGTTAACCAGTGTCTTTTGAAGCACTTTCTATTTAAAATTAGTGATGTTTTTTTTATTGCAATTGGCGCGCTTGACAAATAAAATAGAAAGTCACTTTCTCACTTGTTTAGTAAAGTCAAATTTTTAACCTTATCTCGGAGGTGACGTCCAGTGAACCCTTAACCCCCGTCGTATAACCTACCCTAAAGCATATATTATGTGGCCAAGCGACCTGTATCAACATGCGTCAGCTTAATAAAATAAGCAACAAGCAAAAGACCCATAGGCGTCATGTTTACAAAACAAGTGAGATGCATCATTCAGTTACACTCCAAACAGCTCATATATATTTACCCACCCACAGTGAATCAATTGAGCTCCTAAAGATTTCATTATATATACAACATGATGGAAAAGGGTCATAGCCCGACATGTGATAGTAAGGGAAGAAATACAAGAGAAGCTTCCACAGTATCTGTTATAAACCTCTAGTCCTAAATCACAACAACTCAATGCTTAACCTATCTCGCCAAGTCAATCACATGTTGGCCGATAGCGAATGCTTATAGCATTTACAGTAGTTAACAAAACTGAAGCTCCTAATCAAGGTGTACCGGGAATGATACTCGAGTACTAAACCGATAGAATTAAAATCTTGAATCCGCCTCTGGCTACATGTCACAATCTTCAACCTATCTATTATAAACCAAAGAAAGTGAGGTAATTAATTCTTCTTTGGTACAACACACTTGACTTGGACAGCCAAAGTCTTGAAAATATTAGGGCATGGGTCCTTGTTTGGCTCGTCAAAAACCTCTCTCTCAACTGGGATAGAACATGTGTGTTTTCCCAAACAATACTTTTCTGCTACTTTAATACTATTAGGTGATGTGCAATTTCCCATGTAGAAATTTCCACATGCACCATCTGGATCACCATAACTAGCAAACTCAACTTTCTCGATCACATTATCGTCTGGGCAAGTTAAGTGAGCTCCTGCTTTGAGATCTTCTACGACGGCACGAAATTTACTTCTAGATCTCTCCCAATACTTAACATTTGGAGGATGATATTCGGTGATCATACTGCAGATTGTGTCTCTGTTCACTGTTACTATTTGAATTATTTCTGGGTGACCTCCAGTTTCTTCAAAAACAACTAGGAGATTATTGTTTGGCTTCAAAAATGCTCTTGGAATATGATACCTGATCAATTCATAATTTTCATATTTGTTATCATATTTGACCAATTGATATATGTGGTCGCTTTTTTTTTTTT